GCTCCATTGTTTCTCTTTTCCCTGTGATTATATATATATATACTGTATATACTACAGTATATAATTTGCCTACAATTTTTAGTTTAAATGTTACAGTGTATAGTTACAGCTACAGTACTGTACTTTTAGGGTGAATCTAGAGATCTGAACAGAGGCTTCACAGCAAGTTTTTGAGGCTTTTTTTTGTATATTTTAGGCCTGGCACAAAAAAAAACTATCTGGCAACCCCTATGTCCCAACCATGCTGGATAAATGGTCCCATACCTGTACAATATATATAAACCAGAGATCAGCTTGATTATTTTTTAGAATTTAAGCTTAGAGTGAAATGTAAAGTGGAAATTTAAAGTTGATTTTCCTTGACTCTCTTAACTCTAATTGACAGTGCACAAGAAGTCTCAACAAAGCAAAAAGGAACAAAAAGAAGCCAAAGCTAAAGCCAAGAAAGCTGAAGAATCGGAAAAGAACACAAGTATGGCTGAAGTGGTTCTCATGGATGCTTCTCATACTTGTACAGAAATTGGTGTAGAGCTACAAAATACAGAGACTATGGACTAACCACACAAAGAAAATGCTGTAGAATATGAATAAATGACTAGTACGTACCTTTAATTTGTAATATATTGAAATAAGAAAATGACTAAAAGGCATGTGTGTGTATGTTAGGAAAGATCTGAACACTGAATTTAGTTCATTCCTAATGGTATCATAAGTAAATTTACCTTTAAATGCTATGTAACCCAGATGAATTTCATAAGTCACGATTAGGAAATTGGTATGCCAGATGTGGTGTGTATTCTTAATGGTCACACTATCAAACAGTGGAAAGAATGGTACCCATCTAGAGAGAAGATGGGGTACCTAGTCTTTGGGTCTCATTCATATGGGATTTTAAGTGCCCTGTCTTTTTTTTAAGGTGTTCCTCATCAAGCTGAGTCCATCATCTTTTGTTTTTGAAACATTTCATGATAAGAAATTTGTGATCATGATTGCATAATTTTGAAGACTGAATTTGTAGTAGTGGCATTCTTTTTTACATGTAATTTCAGCAATATGGATTTGCATCAATCATAACATTAATTTAATTGGTTTATATATATAATGTTGAGCCTACAGCATATTAAACCACTATTAATTGAGACTAACAGGAGTAAGTTGAGGTTTTGGTATTTTGAAAATTTTTGGATTTTCTGGGGAAGTGTTTTCTGGGGCATGAAGTAAAACCATCAGCCATTTTCAGTAGAGTACTGTATATATTTATGGTCGTTTTATAAACATTAATTCATATCCATTACAGTAAACATTAAGCGAAGTAACTTTATGTACAAAATCATGAAAGCTAAACTATTTCACACCCTTGGGGTGAGGTTGTAGAGAGGAGAAGGGGTATTTAGTTAAGCTTGGAGTGATTGTTGTCTTGGGACTTGTTAGTTGGTATGTTCAATTTCAAGTCAGAAATGTTTGGTCCCCCTGTCTCTGTCTTTTTACTTTTATCCTCTTCGCCGCTGATCGGCTCGTTAACCGTTTGGGCGATCAATTATTATGTCTATTATGCACGGTTGGTAAGTCTGTTTTTGAAAGAGCTCATACTTGGTGCTGTCCCAACACTGGCTAAAAGGAAGTGTAGTATCTATGGGATGGACATAAAATTAGAAGTTACATGTCGTAAGAAAGGTAGTGAGCATGTCTCAATAAACTACTTTCACTGAAACGAGTGTGTAAGTGAGTGGTTAGGTAGCTTGCGCCGCATCAACACACCGACCCCAAGCGACTTTTACTACCTTAAATAAGTTGTAAAGTTAAATATTTTCATAAAATAATGTGTAATCAAATGTTTAACAAATGTTTCTAAGGTATATATATGTAACTGTTAAACGATACCAAATTAAACTTTATGAGGGTCACTTATAATGTGATGGTCCCGCTTAGACCCTATTCCTATTAATTCCTCTTTATAAGTGGTTTCATTATCAGTGGCTTTTTTCTGGTCCTTATTAACCACTTATAATGAGGACCCCCTGTATGTTTAAGTTTTCTGGGAACCTCCCTTTTTATGCCCAGATGAACATGACACTCAAGTCTCTAGCCACCAAAGTAATGCCTTATCTTTATAGAACTGAGATATGGGTTTTTTTATTTTATTTTTTTTTTTGGAAACTTCACCACATAATTTTTTTCGTGGGTGTGTTTTTCCCATAAGAATTTATATCTGTTGTTATTTGGCTGATTATTTTTGTAAGAGTTTCATAATAAAGGAATTCAAGTAACTTTTGTTATAATTATTCTATTATTAAACTTGTAAAACTAATGATACAGTAGACCTTTGCCATTCATGGTTTTACTGTTTTGACTTCATGGTGCATTCCATCAAAAAAAAATAAAGAAAAAATATTGGTTGGAGATACTTTTACTTCTTTTATCCTCTTTGCCACTGTTCAACACCATTATACTGTACCAATAAATAAATAACATTATGATAGGCAGACACCGGGGCTTGCTGGCTGGTCAGCTGTTCGCATATGTAGACAAACTCAATAACTCAACTGGGGTTGAGTGGGATTTTTTTATCTTTTGGAAAATTTATTATTTTATGATAATATTTCATTAACATAGCACCAAATGAGCCTATCCCTGGGAGGACAAATGTGGAACTAAAACAGGGAGAGCAGGCATAGCCTGTTCTGACTGGTGCTTCTCAAGCAACTCTTGTTGCTTCCCCAAGGTATTCATAGCATCATCAAGTTCAGCTTGGAATTCATTAGAAACTGGTATTGGATCACCTGAGGCTTCAGTCGCCACCACCACCTTATCATCATACAACAACCCACTGTAACTACACAAACAACAGTTACAGTGCACACCCTCAAGAATTACTCGGAATACGACAACTGAACAAGGATTGAAAGTGTACTGGACCAGTTCATATAAATTTAATATACGCCTCCATTAATATACATGGTCAATATTGACAACTACCTGTACTGTATGCTGCCAATGAGTTATTTGTTTTGATGTTTATACTCTTACTATATTTTTATATATTTTCATAAGTGAGTTTTGATATGATCTTTTTTGGGGGGTTAGGTTAACCTAAGTTGACCTTTTAAATAAACACTTTAACACATCTGCGATAACTACGACAGTGTCCACTATAAAACACAGTGAAATTGCGGCGTTTTTAAATTCACTTTCTATAAAAAAATCAGCGGCGGTGTAGTCGCCAATACACTAATCACAATATATATATATATATATATATATATATATATATATATATATATATATATATATATATATATATATATATATATATATATATATATATATATATATATATATATATATATATATATACACACACAGAAAATGCCATTGTGAGTTGAGTTTCCCTTCTTACCTCCATCCTTAGTGCGAGATCTCCTAAGTGTATGTATGTATGTGAGCCATACAAAGAAAAAATAGACAAACGCAAAGAGAAATTTGACAACTGGCCACGTACACTGTGCTACAATTGATGACCCCGGAGTGACGCACTCGCACAAGGATGAATGAGAAACGGTTCTCTCTTCCAGTCTTTAACCACAACATCGAGGACTGGATAATTCACATGGAGGAAGCTATCACCGGCTCAACAGCTAAAGACGAGCAAAAGTACGTTGCCCTGGTCTGTTCCTTGCCCACAGAAGTCGCCACGCAAGTCTCAAAAATCATCACCAACCCCCCAGCTGACAACAAATTCGCGCTCTACGAGATGCTCTGAAGAGGCGATACCAGCGGCCTAGTGCCAGTCTCCTGCAAGACCTATCAAGTCTACCCCTCGGCAACTCAACACCTGCACGTCACTGGGACGAGATGCGTAGACTGAACTCCCGCCACACGGACAGGCTTCCCGAAACTGTCCTGCGCCAGCTTCACGCACAGAAGCTCCCCGCAGAAGTTCGCCTCGCCCTGTCCGCACTGGACTACTCTGCAACCGCTGCGACTTACGCAGCCACGGCAGACAGAGTATTCCATGAATACACTACTATGCGCCATGCTGCCGCGGACAACTCTGCGGCCACACCGTCACTTACCTCCGATCTTGTCAACCGGTTCAACGCTCCTCAGTCGAGCAACATCTCACAAGACATGAGGTACCTGCTACAGTCTCTACACCGCAGGATGGACACCCTCGAGCCTCTCATATGGACTCGAGGCTTTTACAGCATTCACCACTATCAAGCAGCACATCACACACCTTACCTTGCTGGCTCACCCTGCCCCCAACGCCCGGACCACTCTCACAACAGACGCTTCTACTGCCGTGGGCGCCGTCTTACAACAGGAGATCAAAGGAACCCTCATGCTCATTGCCTTCTCACAGCAGCTTCAACCACCTCAATTCAAGTACAGCCCCTCGTCCACGCCTACACTTCAGCCTCCCAGACACATACACTTCGTGTTCTTCGCCACTTGGCTTACATCTCGGAGTTCACCAGGGGCAGCCACAACGAGATCGCCGACACCCTATCTGAGTTGTATATCCAGCATTCTTCCCTCATCTTCACCCATGGATTACAGACAGCTCGCCGTAGCTCAAGAGAATGACGAAGACCTTGCAGCATACTAGACATCTTCCTCAGGTCTCACCCTCCAAGAACTCCCTGTTCCCGGCACGAACATCAAATTGTGGTGTGACATGTCCTGTGGGCAGCCTAGACCGTTAGTGCCTCACATCCACCGCCGCGCCATCTTCGACTGCATCCATGGTCTCAGCCACCCAAGTGTACGGGCCCCCCAGCGCCTTCGCATGCAACGTGTCGTCTGGCCTGGGAAAAAGGCTGATACTCGGAAATGGGCTGCCCAGTGCCTGGCCTGCCAGTCCTCTAAGATACATTGACACATACAGGCTCCCTTAGAAACCTTTCCTGTACCCAATGGACTCTTCCAGGTAGTGCACCTTGACATCATGGGACCTCTTCTAGCATCCTGCGGCAACAACTAAATCTTCACCTGCATCGACTATTTCACCAGGTGGACAGAAGCCATTCCCATGCCCAATGCTTCAGCAGAGTCAGCCGTCCGCGCCTTCCTGTCTGGTTGGGTCTCCCGTTTCGGTCCTCCCACTACTATCATCAGTGACCGAGGAGCCCAGTTTGAGTCACAACTCTGGCATAGTCTCCTACAGTTCCTCGGCACTTCCAGGCACCGCACTACTGCTTACCACCCTCAATCCAACAGCGTGGTAGAGCGGTTTCATCGACAGCTGAAGGACGCCATCAAGGTACAGCACGACCCCTACAGCTGGACGGATGCTTTACCCTTAGTGCTCATTGGCATCCGTGCATCACACAAAGAGGACATGGACTGCAGCCCATCAGATCTCACCCTAGACTAGCTCCTCTGCCTACCCGGGGACTTCTCACTTACTCCTGACCTCGATCACTTCACTCCTGCTGCCCGTCACGACCTACTGCAAACACTACGACAAGCTGTTTCTGCAATCAAAGCTACTGCCCCATGCCAGCCTTCCCATCGCCCTGAACACATCCCTCCTGCACTATTCAACACCGAGTATGTCTTCGTCAGGCGCGATGCTCACTGCAACCCACTTCAACGCCCTTACGACGGATCCTTACCAGTTTTTGCACGATCAGCGAAGTTCCTGACGATCATTCGCAATGGCAGACACGACACCGTCAGCATAGATCGAGTGAAGACAGCCGCCTTACCCAATGGGCCCCCAGCCCAGCATTAGCCCCAACAAACCACGCCTGCACCAGTCTGCTCGTAGTTGCCACTTGCAGCACCACCTTGTCCACTACATTTCTGGGTACCCTCTCTTCATCCTCGGGTACCCACTGCTCCTGACGAGGACCCTGCATCCGGCCCTATGGATCTAGACACCCCACCCGGCTCCCCTGAGGACTTTGCACCTGCCGCGAGAGAAGCACCATATTCCTCGCCTGTTCAACCTTCTCTTATCTATAACCCTCCTTCTCCCACTGATTTCATGTCACTAGACGGAGTCGTCACCCGTAGCGGCCGAGTGGTTTACACCCTCGCCCGTTATGTCTTACATGTGGGATACAACCCTGCCAACAACAAGTTTCCTGCAGCGCTCGGAGGGGAAGGGGAGTATTGTAGTGGATACTCTCCCCTACAACTGCTGGTTGATCACTTGCCGTCTGCTTACCAGCCAATCAGCAGCGACTTTCACAGACCGGGCCTCACTCTTGGACTTCGCGGTGATTGGCCCGTTACCGCTTTCACCTCAGCCAATCAGCAGTGCCGCTCACTTCACTCTTCTCAAACCTGATCCTGCAGAATCGCATAAATACTCCTTGGCCTTGCCTGAAGGTCATTCTACTCAACGCTCTCAAACCAACAAGACCTCTGAACAAGCTCCTCACCACAAAGCAACTCCCTAGCACTGCACTGTACATATTATACATATTTATATATTTGGGACAAATTCACTTCAGAAGAAATAGCTAAGGAACCCCAGTGACCTAGTCTAGACCCAAAATTGTCACAGTTTGGCCCCAGTGTAAGACTCCTTCGGAGGGGGGGAGGGGGTGTTGTAGCATACAGTGTGTGGCAGGTTGTCAAATGCTCTTTATATGGCTCACAACGTACGTACATGTAAGTCTGTATATTTTCAGCCACCGGCTGCAAATCTATTAATAAACCGTTTATTATTATTATTATATCTAACACTCAGGATTGAGGGAGTATAGAAACTCACAATGCATATTCTGTATATATGTTGTTGTACAGTGCAGTTCTAAGTAGTTACTAGGTGAGGAGAAGCTTGCTCAGAGGTCCTGTTGGGCAAGGAGCTTTCTGGGGGAGCTGGTTGGTGAGGAGCTGTTGAGAGGTCTTGCTGGTCCAGTCGCTGAGTGTAGAATGACCTCCCCGGGATGGATGGTGTTGGGGATTACTGGCCTCTTCGCCGTTAGGCTATTTCGGCCGAAGCTGATTGGTTGGACTTCTTCCTTTTCTTGTTTCTTCTTTTGCTTTTCAGTTTCCATTCTTCTTCCTGGTCTTCTTCTGGGATATTCTCATACACGTCAATAAACGATATTAAAGATAGTGTAATGAAATCGGGTTTAATTGTCGTGATCTTGTTCTTGTCTTGCTTGTTCTTTTCTTGATTTTTCATTACAAGGAGGGCTTCCTTGTAGCTCAGTCTTTCCTTAGTCCGCCAAGCAGTTAGCGTCCTGGTGCCCGGGTGTCCCGCAGCTTGAACACACCTCCCGAGCACGACACTTCGGCGCCAGATGGCCGTACTTCTGGCATTTGTAGCAACGAGTAGGTCTTCGCTGGTACGGTTTTACTGGGATCTTCTCCCATCCCAGCAAAACGGAGCTAGGAAGTTCCTTTGGGAAGCCAACCAGGGCAGCTGTGCTGGTCAGCTTCCGAACTATTGAGAGCTGGTCTCCGATCAGCTCGGCCAGTTCTTCTTTTTCCAGATGTTTGATTTCTGTGTGGGAGATGACTCCCAAAACCAAGTTGTCCTGTAGGCAGGCTTCAACTTGGATCTGGATTCCATTGATTTGTTTTATGTTTTCTAATTGCTGGGCCTCTCCCCATTCCGCGAAGGTGACGATAAGGTCACCGCTGTCACTGCGGACGACCCCTGTCACCCCCGTGATTCCCGAGGAGTCAAAAAACTTCCTCAGGAAAAGGAGGTTGAGTTCCTTGCGCGAAGGGCGCTTGACTGGATACAGTCTAACGACCTTCGCCGGCCAGCCTGTGCCGTATTTATGTGATTCTGCCGCATCAGGAATCGAGGCGCGGGTAGCGCGAGAGCCAATCACGGGGGAGAACACGAAAGGTGTGAAACTCTCTGATCCTGAGCTTGAGGTGGAAGATCAAAACTAGGTCGGCGATCGTACCCCTACGTCCGCACCATAGACCTAGTCTCTCGGCGTAGCTGGCTGTATGCTGATTGGCTGGTAAGCGCGCGGCAGGAGCTCAGTTGGTATTGTAGGGGAGAGGATCCACTACAGTGTCATACATATAACCAACAATAAGTTTCTACTGTATAGTGGTCTGCCTAATATAAATTTATTTCATGAGTTTACTGTATGCACCGTCGGTCAGTAATATACTGTTTGATTTTGTTGGTGTTTATTGTCTCAATACAGAATGCACCAATACCTGAAATGTACAGAACAGGAATTAACACACATAGGCTACACCATCTCACACACATACTAGTACACACACTCCAATGACTATACGCTTGGATCAGTACAATGAATCTAGAGCAATTTTAATCAAATAAATTAGGACCAAATGCATGCATTGCAAAGAATTGTATTTCATATTTTTTATTGTTGATGGGCTAGTGTTGTTCACTTAAGACAAATGTAAAATTTTTAAAGCTCAGTACGTAATAACATAACGGCGACTTATGCACTATGCATTAGTTTCAGGTGAAAATATACTGTAACTCCTTGAGGCAAGAGGATCCTGGTACAACTGAATGTTTAACGGTGCCGTGTTATTCAATATCAGCCAGTGGTGCCATTTTAGCGATGTTTTGACCCACCATCTAGCGGGTAAATTTTCTGTCTAGTGCGAGCGGGTTTTTTGCGGATTTAACTGATATCTGGCGTATTTCTAGCCGTTTTAATTATATAATTATACTTGCATAAGTATAGATTGTCAGTGGAAAGATCTCACTTGTGAAGTTGTAGTGGATTCCTCCCCTACAAACGCCATGTGTCGCTGACTAGCCGATTCCCCGCGAATCTACTAGCGTATCCCTCGTGGTTAAGGTCAGGTAACCAGCGACGCCGAACAAAGCGGGGGCCTACCGTCAAGCCACGCCTACCCCCGCTATATGAGACCTCACCTGGCCGTAATCGACCTTTATCTACTTACCGCCACCAGCAAGCAACATCTCTCAACAGCTCCACACCACACGCTCCCTCAGAAAGCTCCTCGCCCTACAGGAACTCTGACCAAGCTTCGCCTGTCCTAGTACCTCTTTAACACTGTGCTGTGCAACAATATATATACGGGAAACACATTGTGACTTTCTATTCTACCACAATCCTGAGTGTTGGATATATTACATGTACGTACGTTGTGAGGCCAAATAAGAGACCCTGACAACCTGCTACAAAGTGGAATGAAGTTTCACAAACTGCCCTGTTTTGAAATGAAGTACATAACTACATGGACGCATCACATTGCAATCCATCCAAGGAGTTGGCAGAGTATGCTTTATCAGTTCTCGTCATACCCGACTCTAATGCTGAAGCAGAAAGGATATTCAGTCAGTTAAACATAGTGAAAAATAAACTTCGAAACAGAATGGGAAAAAATGGCTAATGCTCTTCTTGCAGTGCGAGCAAGTTTGAAAATAAATGAAAAGTCTTGTCTTGAATATGAAATACCGGCTGATATCTTGAAATTGGTTGGTACTAGTAATGCATACGTCAGTGAACCAATCCTGAAATCAACACCAAGAGCAAGTACATCTCGAGAGGAAACAGAGGTAGAGGAATTTGATGATTCCTCTCTCTTCCTGTTTTAAAGGTAGGCCATGCATATCCTGTGATGTTTATTATACATTCATAATACTTATGTGACATTATGCCCACCGGTGTGTTAATTAGCTATACTTCTATGTACCATACTTTCTAAAGTAATCATTCTAGCTATTTACATATATTAATGGTTTAATTGTGTATATATCTATATACGGTATATATAAAGAGGGTAACATGCTATTATCTGTAGAGCTACAATCTAGCGTGTTAGGGGTCAAATGTAGCGGGTTTTGGAGTCTCATATAGCGGGAATGTAAATTTGTAGATGGCAACACTGCTATCAGCTGTCTCGTCTGTACAGTGGCAAAACAATGTCTGTTTACGTAAAGAGACTCTTCCCGTATTTTAGTCGAAATGGAAGTGTTTTATGTAGAAATATAAAAGTAGGTAGTGAGAGGTATGGTTTAGAAGGGCAGAGCGTGTTGAGGTGTGCAGCTACAGTGAAATCACCGCCGCCTAAGCCATCATCATGGAGGAGATATGGCAAATTAGTTGGTATGGGGTTCGGTGTAGGCGCCTTGGCTACTGGCGTCTACATGTACGACATTTACAAGAGAGTTACAACCCCGATAGCAAACCCATCTGAGGGAGGTGAATATGTCCTACGAGAGGCACCGCCTTCTTTCACCCCTTCAAGAAGAGTAGGTTTTTGGGTATTATTTCACGTCTTGCCACTTAAAGAATTTTGAAAATTTTATGGTTGCAATCAGTAGCTTAGACAATTCTAAGACAATTTTCTTCGGTAAATTTTACATTGTCACACCGTTCACTGTTAGAAAGTCAATAATATATTTTTCTAGTGTATTTTTGTGTGTTTAGACCGAATATGACCTTCATTTCTGGCGGAAGTTAGCCGGGTTTTTTTCGAATTTTTTTAGTTGGACGTTTTCCGAAAAAAAATCATGGCAAAATACACCAAAAAAACACTGGAAAAACAAAAACCAAAGCTAACCTAACTGACTCTTACCATATGATGGAATCACCTATTTCTTACCTTATTGGTCTGGTTCTTGTTCGTCGTTGCATTCTGGGATTCTTACACAACGCCACATATGTTGGTCTTTGCGATATTTACATTCAGTCTTGCTCTTAGTACACTTTACTGAGGTTGGAAGAACACCATGCGATCGAAAAAATGCTATAGTTTCTACGTTTTTTTTTTCCAGAAACTGGCAATCAGCTCCATATACTTAAAGTGACACCCATCGCAGACTTCCATGGTCGGAACTGAACTTGAATTTCAAAATATGAGAGACCCAAAATAAAACTCGAATTTGATTGGGCCAAATATAGTCCGAATTATACCCAAAATCATTTTAATTGGTTCCAAAAGCAAAAACGCTTTTGATAGGCTGCGTGATGTGTACGGGAATGCATGCGCGTGATGATTTATGAAGGAGATGCGCAGTGTGAGAGGTGAGGCAGGCGATAATGGAAGAAAATTTTGGAAAAGCTATCTCCGTTATTATACATTTCCGCCGATTATGTAATAGATGAAAATTATCTTATAATTAGACGTCTTATTCGAATATGATAATAGATTAGTGGTAGGAATGAATGGTGTGTAAACACACTACCTTTGCTTCTAACCCACAGATGCATGTTAGGAGGTTAGGTTAGGTCGTTTGCGAGAGAAATGACATAGAAGAAATGTATCTTAGAATTGTCTAAGCTATTGATTGCCAAAAAAAAAAAAATGGCTGTTGATATTTTGCCATGACTGGTAAGCTCCTACTAAAGGTATTTTACCGTGAGTGCACTCTTACCGGCGAACAACACGAGAACTATATTTGACCGTGACTGGTGGTATTTATTTTGCCGTGAGTCGATTGTTGTGGAGCTGTAAACATACCTAACCATTTTTCTGTTGTGCATGGAAAGTTATCATTATAAATGAGTACTTAGCCACTCAAAGCGCACTCACAGTAAAATAGCGTTAGTAAAACTTTGCCGGTCATGGTTAAATATCCACTACGTAAAATTATCTCGATGGATATATTGCCATGACCGGCTAAGTTCCTTCTAACCCATTATACCATGACTGCGCTGTTTAATATGACGGGGGTCGGGGGTGAGTCCACCCCCCCCCCCCCTCCTGGGCTAGGAAGTTAAGTAAGGTAAGGTAGGATTCTTTGGTTGCTTAGGTCAGGTTCTCTTAGGTTCTAGTAAATGTTGCCTCTTTTATAATGATAACATCTGTGGAAAATGACCAAAATCTAACAATTCTTTCTGGTCAGATATGTTTATAGCTACACAATGATTGACTCACAGCAAAATAAATGCCAAATGCCTCCAGAGTCTTGGTCACATATCAATCATGCGTTGTTTGCCGGTAATGGATGTTAAGCCAATCAGAGTGTATCCACGGCGAAATAGCATTAGTAGGAACTTAGCCAATCACGGCAAAATATCCACTGCTTAAAATTATCAAAGTTCTTTGAGTGTCAACAAGTAAAATTTTACTAAAGTAAACTTTTACCTCTTTTTTTCTTCAAGTTAATGCTATTGTGATAGTAGGTTGTAGCTGCCTTAATGCTTTGTACAGTCTTGTTCAAGATTCTTCGAACGCTGCTGGAGACAGCTGGCAACTCAATGCCATTTGTTTACTATAGTACGTCATAAAAATTATGAATAAATGTAAAAGTGATCGGTGATTGGTTACTTAGTTCCCCGTTGCTTAATTTACTGGTTCGGCTTTGTATTTTTGTATTATATTATACTACGTACTGTACTATAGTAAAAAAATGGCTTTGAGTTGCCAGCTGTCTCCAGTAGTGTTCGAAGAAACTTGAATGAGACTGTTCCAGTAATTCTTTAGATAATGCAGAAGCAATTGGTTAGCACCAGAAATACAGGTAACATTGAAATTGAACCAACATTTCTGGAGATAATATTTGTGTGATATTGTACTGAACACAGAAATAGAAATGTGAATGCACAGAACCTGACATAACCAAAGAAATCTACCTTACCCTACCAAACTTCCTAACTGGACCTCCTGTTATACAGTATTAGGCATAAAGAACTTACTGTGATATTTCGTTCCAATGAAAGCAACTACAGCACAGGTATCTTCAATACACCCTGCAATTTAATGTACCTGTACAGTACATCTTTGTGAATCATACTGTATATGACGCTCATGTCACCATGGGATGCGACCGCCCGGCCCGCCTCAGTGTAAACAAGTACAATGTGCATATATATATATATATGCTGATAACCACAAGGAGAGAAGAAAACACGAAGTTCCCAAGCGCTTTCGTGTAATTCACATCTTCAGGGGTGAGTACAGACTGTCTGTACTCACCCTGAAATATGATAATATATATTATATATATATATATTTATATATATATATATTATATATATATATATTTTATATATATATATATTATATATATATATATTTTATATATATATATATATATATATATATATATATATATATATATATATATATATATATATATATATATATATATATATATATATATATATATATATATATATATATATATATATATATATATATATATATATATACACAGTGGGGTTTGCTATAACGAATCTAATTGGTTCTAGAACCTTGTTCGTTATAGCATTCGTTCGTTATAGGATTAATCCGTTCCAGGCCCCCAAATACAACCACCTAACACTGAAAAATATAATATAAAATTGTCAAAATTGTAAAAAGTGCATAAATATACACCTAAACCCCCGAAATAAAGAGTATCATGAATACTTGTAATAAAAAAACAATAAATTATTAAAAAAATTTTTTTTTTTTTTTAAATATAATGTTCGTTGTAGGAGTTTCGTTCGTTATAGCATTCTCAATTTTATAGGTAAAACCGTTCGTTATAGGAATATTCGTAGTAGGATCCGTTCCTTATAGCATACCCCACTGTGTGTGTGTGTGTGTGTGTATATATATATATATATATATATATATATATATATATATATATATATATATATATATATATATATATATATATATATATATATATATATATATATATATATATATATATATATATATATATATATATATATATATATATATATATATATATATATATATAGATAGATAGATAGATAGATAGATAGATATAATCACACGGGAAAAAGGAAACAACGGAGCACCTTAGCTTTCGTCTTTATTCAAGACATCTTCAGAGGCAACTGGATTACATGGACAGAGAGAGGCTTAAATATACAGGGTGACCTTAAAAACATGAGGTCAGGTTATAATGATGTCATCCACTAATCCCCACACCAACACACACGTAGAGGAGCTAAAGAGAAGGGGGGGGACGTGACTAGTCAGGTCAGGTCAAAAATAAGGGACCCACTTAATAACTACCATACATCTCGATCAAAGGTTTTCAAAGCATTTTTAACCTTGGGCCACTGACAAATAAATTTATGTAACATATTATCAGTTTTGAACTGACCATCACTAAGGTTTATTGATTTTAATTCCTTAATCAAACTAGCTTCAACCAGAAGTCTTTCTGTGACACAAGATGATTTAAATACTTATAAGCTTTTTTCCCAAGCAATGGGATGATTATTATTCCTAACATAACCGTTGGTCAGTGTTTGTTGTTTATTTATTTTTGTTTTCTAAACCATACCTTAATGTATGTCTGCAAACTTTTTAGATGCTTCTATTCTTATTGCCAAGGATGATATGTTATTTTAATGAATAAAATAACAAATATATACTGTACAGTAACATGTCTCTGCTTTTAGGGCTGAGTAATTTGGGAGTCTTTTTAAGTTTCCAAAGTGTTGTGGAGGTAAGAGACATAGGCAATCCAGACCTCATGGGATGAGAAATGGGAATCTCTAATGCAACTTTAGGGCTAGAGTACCAACATTAAGCAGGTTAAGTAGTGCTTAAAGAGGCTACACTACAGTGTACTGTACTGTACTTAAATACAACTTCAGTTCTATCCATACTCATAAGCCTTAGGATTTTTAAAACTTAAGGTTTAGGTAAAGTCCGTTAAAAGAGGAAGTTATTTTCTTGGGGGTTGAAATGAGTCTTTTAGACAATCTTAATAAATGCAATTCCCACACTTACCGTTTTATTCTGACTATCGCCAGACCATTTTATTCTGGCTATCGCCAGACGAATTTATTCAGCTTAGGGTAACCTCCCGCAGCCAAAGTGTTAATCCTACTGAGCTGAATGAAATCATCTGGTGGTAGCCAAACAAAATATTAAAACCCTTTTTATTTTCATGTTAAATCTGAGTACAGTGCAGTGCAATGTTTAACCCCTCGAGCATGATGAGCTAACAGACATGAGTACATTGTCTTGTCTTAATCCTTTGTATATGGTAGCCTATTCCCTTGAGTAAAATGGCTCAGTACTCAAGAGGTTGGGTTGCATGTGAGATGGGGCAAATTGGTAAGTGGTCTTGAATATTAATGTGAGCTATTGATTACATACACATATTAAGATTGATAAATTTGATACGTCTGTTTCAGATTCAGGTGCCAACAGACACTACAGGATTGAAGATAACGCTCTTTCAGTACCAGACATGCCCATTTTGCTGTAAAGTAAGGGCATTCCTGGACTACTTTGGATTTTCTTATGATGTTATTGAAGTCAACTCGGTCACGCGCACGCAAACAAGGTGGACGGATTATCGCAAAGTTCCATTCCTTGTTGTACAGATTCCCAATACTGATGTGATATTAGTAAGTTGATTATCACTATTCAAAGATTTTTAAAATTGGAAGAAGGAATATATATCAGGCAAAAATATATGGAACAGGTTGAGCAAATGGAGAGATTGTAACTTTTTATGTTATGGTCACTCTGAACTCGTAATTTTGGGCACATAGATTTAACTTTCTTCACCTTTTTTTACTCTGCTACATGCACACAATCATAAATACATAATGTGCAAAAAATAATAACCATAAGTTGGAAAATAAATGGAATACAGTAAACATTTTTTGTGTGAGGACAGGAGGGGGAGCATTGCTAAGGGTCGGCAGAGGCGGTGTCGCTAGCTGAGCTGGGTTGCTATGGTGAGGTTTGAGGGCGGCCAAGTGTGATGCAGCCAGCATCTACCGTATACAAATGGTGGCTGTGTTAAACTTTCATTTAGCTTTTCCCTAATGGTTTTAGTTGCATAATTTCATCTTGATAATATTTTATTAATGTTTTTAATGTGTTAGGTCATAAATTATAGTACAGTAGTTGTTGTGCATCGGTTATCATTATTTAGGTAGGCTTTTTTTTTATTTGTGAATTGATTTAATGATATTGGGGCTCTTGTCATTGGGGAACCGAACCTTATTTTTCCCATAAGTTCTTTTATTCACTACAGTACAGTGGTTCCTCGGATAACGAACTCAATCCGTTCCAGCAGGTTGTTCGTTAACCGAAAATTTCGTTAACCGAAACCATTGTTTCATTGGGTTTTTGGGTAATTGGTTCCAGCTCACCGAAAATTTCCTAAATTCAACAAAAATGGTAGAAAAGTTCACTTACTTTGAGGTGTGTATGTAGAAGGCTCCTGGATGATGATGATGATGATGATGATGTGCATTTGAAGTGGGAGGAGGAGAAGGGAGAAGAGAAGGAAGTGGAGGTGGAGGAGAAGCATTTTACTGCTTCTTGGAAGGCGAGTCACCTTCCATGAAAATGTCAGGAACCTCTGGACTGACAGATTCTCCACCATGAACATCCTCTCTCCTTGAAGTGGAAGGCTGAGGGATAGCATCTTGTTCCCTCTGCCTTTTACTGAAGAAAGTGTCAATTGTGGTCTGTGGGGCATCTCTCCTCCTCACCATTAACTTATGTTTAAAGAAGGAGACCACTGAGTCCTCAACATGACACAAAGTTAGTTCAGTTTTTTCCACTTCTGGGTGCTTTGAAGCCAGTTCCCTGAACTTCTCCCAGTAGTAAATCACATCTTTCAGCTGTTTAGCTGACATATGGTCATCACTTTCAATTTCCTCCTCACCACTGTCAGCCTCTACCTGTAACATCTCATCCAGTTGCTTCAAGTCATCAGGAGTAAGTTCCTCCTCATGAGACATCACAAGCTCTTCCACATCCTCCTCCTCCACTTCAAGGCCCAATGACTGACCAATGGACACAATCTCCTTGTCCAACTCTGTTTCTTCCTCAAATCCCTCAAAATCATGGACTACTGATGGCCACAGTGCTTTCCATGAAGAATTGAGGGATCTAGTGGAGACTTCTTGCCATGATGACACAATCAATTTTACAGCCTCCAGGATGTTGAATTGTGTCATCCAGAACTGTTTCAGTGTTAGTTCAGGATCAGTGGAAGTTGCCTGACGACACCTCCTAAACATTTTCTTCATGTACAACTTCTTGAAGTTGCTGATCACATTCTGGTCCATTGGCTGTATGATTGATGTAGTGTTTGGAGGCAAAAATAACACTTTCACAAAGTCAAATTGATACTCCAAATTGCTGGCAAGGTCAGGGTCATGACCAGGAGCATTATCCATGAGGAGAAGAACCTTTAAAGGGAGTTTATTGGTGGTTAGGTAGCTCTTGACAGAAGGGCAAAACACATCAACAGCCCATTCATTAAAGAGCTGTCTTGTCACCCATGCCTTCCGGTTGGACTTCCAATAAACTCCAAGTTTTGTTCTTACCACTTTCTCTTGCTTGAACACCCTGGGGTTTTCAGAGTGGTAGACAAGCATAGGCTTCAGTCGGAAATCCCCTGAAGCATTGACATCAAGCAATAGAGTGAGACGGTCTTTCATGGGTTTATGCCCAGGTAAAGAGGCTTCATCTTTGGTGATGAATGTTCTTTTGGGCATCTTTTTCCAGAACAGCCCAGTTTTGTCCACATGGAACACTTGCTGTGGAAGATAATTTTCTTCTTCCATCAGTTTTTTAAATTCAACTAAAAACTTGCTGCCCCTTCTTTATCAGCACTAGCAGCTTCACCATGCCTAACAACACTGAAAATGTCACTTCTTTTCTTAAATTTTTCGAACCAGCCTTTGCTGGCCCGAAAATCTTCAAATTCTGTGCCTGAAGAACCAGGTTGATCTGCCTTTAAATGTTCATAAATCTCCCTGGCTCTTTCACAAATGAATTCACTAGAAACTGAATCACCTTTCATCTGTTTTTCCCTAATCCAGATGATAAGTAACCTCTCAGTTTCTGCGATTAGGGATCTACTTTTAAACACACTTGTAGATTTGTCTCTCACTTTCACTTCTTTCAATTTGTCTTTCTGTGCAAGAATTATCGACACAGTTGATGCCGACATGCCGTATTCTTTGCTAAGCACATTTGATTTAATGCCTTGTTCATGTTTTTTTATGATTTCCTGCTTGGTTTGGATTGAAATAGCTTTTCTTGATCTCTTAGGCCCCATGCTGGATTCAAACAATGTCAACACGTGTTTTTCAAAGTTAAACTTGTTGTAAATAAAGAATATTTTCTTTAAAATAACACTGCACTGCGCTATATATTGTCAATATGTATAATAAATTTCAAAATGACCAATAATTTGCTTGGAAACACAGAAAAAAAGCGTTTAGTTAAAGAGAGTCTCAAGCAAGATGTTACCTCCAGTGAAAACAGAGAGAGACTAACGCCTGCTTGCTGTGTTAAGAGGCTGGATGCCGCGCATTAAACTAGTCACTTTACCTTCAATTACGTTCAATAATTGTTAAAATGGCTAAAAAATTGAATATTAAACTTTTAAAATTATTGAATAGTATAAACTTCTTGATATTTACTAAAATAGTAAGGAATTTAAGCCCTAGAACCGATTAATGTATTGGCGGACTGATACTAAAGCTGGTTGCCCGGCCAGTGCAAGCGAAAACATGTTGAGGTCGGTTTGTAAGAAATTCGTTAACCGAATTTTTGTTCGTTAACCGAATTGAAGATTCTTATGGAAGGCAGTTCGTTAACCGAGGGATCACTGTATACAAAAATGCACATAATGAAGGGTTTTCAGGAACCTAATCAATAGCGAGGGATACCTATACAGTATACTTAACTGAAATCACTTTTTATGTCATAACGAAATTTCGGTTAATGAGCGCTTCAGTTAACGAAATTTTGGTTAACAAATTACCTTCCATAAGATTCTTCACTTCGGTTAACGAATTCCTTGCGAATTTTTCTCAACATGTTTTCGCCTGCATTTGGCTGCCCACCAGCTGTAGTATTAGTCTGTCAATGCAGTAATCGGTTTTAGGGCTTAAATTCCTTACCATTTTAGTAAATATCAAGAAGGTTGTACTATTCAATGATTTTAAAAGTTTTATAATAATTTTTTTAGTCATTTAAAAATTATTAAACATAATTGAAGTACAGTACAGGGAACTATATTTTTGCGCGCCAAACAGCCACTCAACACACCAAGCTTGGCGTCAGTTTGTTTACCAGTTCAGAGGAAGGAACATCTTGTTTGAGACTTTTCAACATAAATGCTTTTTTTCTGTGTTTCCAGTCAAATTATTGGTCATTTTGAAATATATTTTACTTATTGATAATAAATAGTGCAGTGTTGATTTAAAGAAAATAATCTTGAATTACACCAAGTGAACTAAAATTTTATGGGTGAAATGGCGGCATGGGGTGACATCTCTTCCACCCCAATGCCTTCTCTTCTCCCTTCTCCTCCACCCCCATTCTAATTCCCATCATCATCATCAACCAGGAGCCTTCTACATGCACACCTCAAAGTAAGTGTACTTTACTGCATTTATTTTTCGTTTGTATGTAATTTTCGGTGAGCTGGCACCAATTAGCCAAAAACCCATTGAAACAATGATTTCAGTTAAAAAAATTTTCGGTTAACGAGCAATCTTCTGGAACGAATTGTGCTCGTTAACCGAGGGACTACTGTATGCTGGTACAGTAATGTACAATACACCAATTCCCCCATTTATGTTGTTTCAGTCAACATCGCAGAAAAAAAAATATATACAGTGGTCCCTCGATTAACGAATTTACAGTCAACGAAATAGCTCCCATAAGGATTTTCAATTCCATTAATGAACAAAACTTTGTTGTGCGCATCAGCTGATCGGCTAGTCCGCCAATACAGTAATTGGTTCTGTTTACATTTGTTTCCAGTGGAGTAAATATCAAGAAAGTTGTGCTCTTGAATACTTTTGTATTTTTTATATTAAAATTATTGGTCATTCTAATTTAGTTAACATATTGATAATACTTGTATATACAGCACAGGGAACAGTTTTTGTTTGCCAATCAGCTGATCGAATCGCTCACCAACGCTTTTCCGCTTAACTTTGCTTACAGTGGAGTAAACATCCAGTTTGTTGGTCTTTGAATATTTTTTGCATTTTTATATTAAAATTATTGGTCTTTCTGAAATTTAGTTCACATAAGTGAACGTGGGCCCTTTGTGCCCGGTGAAAGTTTGTCCGGCTGTCAGCATACAGCGAATGAGGGTGCGCCAAGTCCGTTGACTTGCATCGTTTTCCATCTAAAATAAAATGGTTAATTAATGCCTTCCTAAAGAAACCATCGACATGGGACCAGGTTTGTTTCACTCTACGATTTTTTTTGCGATTTTTCTACCAAGTTTGATGAAAAACGATTGTGCCGTTTCGGCTGCCCAGAACAGACACACGGCTATTCCTATAGTATATTAGATATTGATAATATACAGTGCAGAAATTATTATGAAACATGAAGAAGGCATTAGAACCAATGCGCTCTGTAAAGAATATGGCATGTCATCATTGACTGCCTCTACAATCAGCTGTTTGATATGTAGACAAAGCTGCCAGGAATACGACATACACACCTCAAAGTAACTTAAAATATAGTATTCTATTGTTTTTTATTTATTTTTATACAGTATACTGTACAGTACGGTACTGTATTTAGTTTATATTTAATGTTTTGTTAATTCTAGTACTGGTATACAGTACTTTGTATGTACTTTTTCTGTGAGATGGAACCAATTACCTAATATCCCATTGAAATAATAGATTCAGTTTACGAAATTTTTTGTTAACGAACGACTCTGGAACCAATTGTGTTCGTTAATCGAGGGACCACTATATGAAAATGAGAAATGTACGACAATTTTTTATTTAAATTCAGTACGAAGGCGCTTGGCGTTGATAACAGCTGGCTGTGTAAGCAACCAGCATGGGCGCCATATTTGTTTGTAATTGTTCGGTGGTTGGTTGGTTGATGCTCTTCTAACATTCACTTAAAATCCAATTATAAATTTATTTGAGCCCTAGAACAATGAGTGCTAAATGTGCATTAGGCACTACTACTGGTTGTGGTCACAGAAAGAAGAGGAAAAGTGTTACACTGGAAGTTAAATTATATGTGGTAAAGAGATTTGAAGAAGGACAGTGAGCTTTGGACCTAGCAAGAGCTGTCGGTTTGTGGAAATGCAGAAAATATCAAATCATGTACAGTCCCGGAAGAAAGTTCTCACAACAGTCAAGGTGAATGGTGTAAAGTCTGCCCACCCTTACTGGACAACGGGTCCACTGTCCAGCCATCGCCTCCCTCCTTCCCTCCCTACACACACACACACACACACACACATACACACCCTTGCAGTTCAACAATCAAAATCTGATACTTCCATTTCTCAATAAGGACTCGGGAAGGATGTCATTGTTTTGTTAATAAATTCATGAAACGAGTTACTCAATCAAGTTTTACATTATTTGACGTAATATGTTACACCATTGTTAGATAATCATGTCATAGTATAGAGTGTGTTTTGGTGGCTGGGGTTCAAAACAATATCAGAATCCTCCAAGCTGTATTGTCTTTCAGAATGAGAGCCAGAAAACTAAACATGAATGTGTGGAATAATATGGTTCATAAGAGAATGCTTTCTTACCCTCCTTGATAATGGCCTTGTCATAGGGTCTACTGCATGTAACCTTGGCTGGATCTCTTCAGTGGATGACATGGTGGGAGTATGACTGACGTATGAGCGACACAATTAATATAAAAGTGTGCCATAACAAGAAGTAGGTCACAACACTGATTGATCAGCATTTGATGAAAAAATAAAAGTAGCATGACCATATTTTAGTATACATTATACTTGTATAGGTAACCATAAATGTTGCCTACTTAATATTATATATAGTGCACTCAATATCTTTGTAGACAAATTAACAGTTAAAAAATAAAACAATGATTCGAACAATCTATTCTTTAGATTACATGAATTATGCATAACACATATCGTCAGCCAAATTATTCAATCAGTAGCCCATCCAGCTGCCCTGCCTTTCAATGTCATCACATGACAGTAGTAGCCAATCATAGCGCACAAGCACTCTGAGACTACCCACCCACGTGCTTGGCATGTGTCGGTGCATGATGTAATCGCTCGGAAATTTATTAAAATACCCAGGAAGGAGAGAATTTCTTGGAATGCTAAAAAAAATTTCCAAGTAATGGAAAGTTCCGGGAATCAAAAATTTATGTAAAACTCAAAATACTTTTACATAAGAGAAAGATTTAAGTAATCCAGCAGAATGGAGAATAAAAAAAGGGGGCTCATCACTGCCCCAAGATAACTCTAAAGGAATATTCATTTGGCTAGTTTCAGATTTTTTTACATAGAATGTGTTTTAGTATAGGTGAAAGTGGGCTAGAACTATCAGATATTCTTGTAATTTTTAAATCTATCAAAAGTTGGTCACTCAAAATTTTCAAACAATCACCAGTAAAGGGTGAATGAACTGATTTCTGATACATGTATTAAGTTTAGGGTGGTGACTACTCACCAAGTGAGGTGATGTTTGAGGAAGGCCTTTTAGTCAACTTTAATTGACCTAATGGTTGCCTTATGGCGTATGCCTTCACAAAGGCACTTTAGATTGTTCCTAGTCTTTTGTTTTTATATAAAAAAGTAGCAGTATGGTATCACTATACAGGGGTAATATTTATAAAGTGGCAGTATCTCATAATTTATATGTGGGAATAGGGTCTGAAGTTTTGTAAATAATTTGTATAAACATTAGTACTGTACTCTAATATTTACATAATTTTTGTAGACTGGCAATATCCACTCGGTTTCTCTAAAAGTGGTACGTATACTGTACTGTATTAGACATGATATTTTTATTAAATTTTTGTTTAGTTTTTTAATCAGTATTTTACATTATTAGAATTAGCAAGTTAAAATGGGATATTTTCTCTTCCAGCAACTCAAGGACAGTACTATGATTATATCCGTGCTTCAGTCTTTTCTGGATAACAATACGTCAAATCTACCAGACCTAGTGAAGTGTTATCCAACTATGGTGTACACAGATGAAGAAGGAGAAAAACGTATTGAGATTATGAATCGTTACTTTCTAATGTACGGGCAGCATCCTTCTGGACGCACTAAAGAAGATATTGTGTAAGTTGGTATAAAAAATTTTATTACTCTTTCAAGCCTCTTCCCTCTCAAGGTAGGGCGAATGGAAACACATGCAGTACTAGCTATATTGTACACACATTTTTCCTTAATTCAGTATCATTAATTAATTTTTACTGTAGTACTGTTCTGCTATTGTTCTGCCCTTCTATAGCAATATACAGCATCATATTTTGTTACTTTATACAAGCCAGCCTTCCCCATCATCAGCATGTCCTTCCCTGAAGATCACACACTGCTGCTTCCTGAATATCTACTTCAAAACACTTTTGTTGCCTCCTTCACTTCATCCCATTTTGTTCTGTTTAGTCTTTCCCTATTTTTCTCTTGCCTGCCACCTCTAAATTATATCCTCTTATCTACAATCATTTTCTTCTCATTCTCTTAGTATGTCCATATCAACTGAACAAACTTGATTCACTTTCTGCCCAGCACTTCTTTCACATTTGTATATTTTTATTTTTGCAATTCCGAGCTTAGATTACTATCAAGCATTTCATTTATCATTTGTGTGTGTAAAAAATAAATCTGGTGTAATAAGGTGGCATTCTTCATACAGCAATTATTATACATGGGAAACCACTCTTATGGAACTAAGAAGAGGTCAGTACCACATCATTCATGTACTGTATTTCCAATATCTGGAGACCCAGTATCATTGTGTCAGACTGCTAACAATAAGACACTTTTTGAGAGCATTGTAAATTTTCTGCAGTTCTAAATTGTATTTTTTCTTAAAATAATTGAGGTGTTGCCTGATCTTCATATTTCCTGGTTAATTCCCTTCACCAGGTGACTTATTGTAATAAGGGGTGACTTACTAGGGAACTCCTTGAGCTTTTTGGCTGGGGTTCTAGGGTCTTTTAGGGTTGATCTGTTATTATCTCATTGATTACCCTCGCACAGCCTACCTAAAATGAAGTTGAGGGTGCATGTAGAAGTTTATCCCCCTCTCTTGGAATGAAGGTGGGTATGTATCCATACAAATCTGGATTTGTTTATTAAGAGCACATCATCTTTGAGCTGACCATAACAGGGAATAGTTTTACTTCAAAAAGCTAAATTATTATCCCAGTGTTTAGATATTAGGTGTATTAACTATAAATTACAGTACGTACAGTACATATATTGTAGATCCATTTTCATTTCATTGGTTTGTTTACATTTATCCAATCCTAAGGCCATGGCAAATTGGAAGAGGTATCTAACCTTAGTACAAGAGTTTTTTTGGTGAATTTACTCCCAAAACAATGTACAGTCGCAGTCAAAAGTAATCATCCACTCCACCACCTAAACCCTGTGCCTGGCCAGGTCCTTTCTGTGCGGCAAGTCACTTGGGGTGGAGAGGAGGAATGGTCGACTTGGAGGAGAGCCGTTTGTTTGGGGGGAGGGTGGTATGCAATGCAAATTGCTCAGCAGAGAGGGGGGTTAAAGAAAGCAAGAAAATTCATGACAGAAGGAAGGGAAGGTTGGATGTAAGTTTTTTTCTAAATACAAGATATGATCTTAGGTTTACATGTTTGAAAGAGTAATAGATGAGGACCCTTATTTTATGATTACGTATTATAATGTGCCATCAATATCCTTATTTATCATTTTTTCAGGTTGTGGTTCAAGTTTTAAACAATGGTAATTAGATAATTAGGTAATTGGTAGGTAGGAGGCAGCCATCAAACAGGGAGGTACTACCGCCTGGGAAGATATTGGAAGCATAATGTGTTGTCTAATGGTAGACCCTGTTGCCATATGGCATAACAAAAATTGTGACCAAGTCCCAGGTTGCTGATTTGTCTTTCTGCCTCATTTACACACAATTGCAGGGTCTCAATTGTTTTTCTTACTACAGGCATCCCGCGCATTACGGAAGGGTTCCCATTGACTTCCATTATAAAACTGGAGATGTGTTCCTAAGTTATTTTTTCGGCCCCAATAAAGTAATTCAAGCACTTTTATTAATGAAAATAAACATTTATAAACACATACAATACAGTACATTAAATAATTTATGATACACCTTCTTAAAACACCAATTTAGGGGTTAATATTGCATAATATTGCATTATACAGCTATGTGTATGTTTATTTGAGTGCCCCGTCATTGGAGTCCGTTTTCTCTCACTTCAGCACTCCTGAGTCTCTCGTTTTCAATTAATCTTAAGAGTGCACCGGAGACTATTATTTTTTAGTAGTGACACAGAATTTGATATTGCAACTGGGGTTGCAATTGTTGAGGCAACTTTGGTATGTCTGATTACAGTTGGAATATTCAAGATCCATTGTGAGTGATGTTTAAAGCTTCAACTGTCTTTATGGTTGGTAAAACTTGTCAATTCTGTCAGTCTGAATGGCATGTGTGAGGCCTTGTGTTTGTTAAAATTTACCCCAATTTCCGCAAGGGCGGATTTACGGGCCGTAACGCGAAATTATTGGTCATAATTTACAAATTACGTAAGAGCGAAATTCCGTAACCCAGGCTTCCGTAACGCTGGGGATGCCTGTACTAACAACACAACATACATACATACATATATAATTTCTCGCTATTGATATTTTTATTTTTTTATTTTTGTGTTTATTTATGACTCTATTACAGGGGGTATTGTTATTAAAAGAAAATTAATTTTGTATTATTATTATTATTTTCTTTTATTATAATTGTTATTTATTTTTAAATATTTTATTTATTTTATTATTATTATTTTCTTCTTTTATTATAATTGTTATTTATTTTATATATTTTTATTAATTTTAGTACAGGTTGTACCTCTCTAGTCCGGCATTCTCTAATCCGAAAACTCCCGTCGTCTGGAACGATTTTAGTTTGCCCATGGAGAAAACTAATTTGAGTCTGGTACTTTCGATGTTTGGCTAAATTTTGCCTTATTTACCCTACTTTTTTGGCGAATTACTACCTGTAATAAAGCAACATCCTAATAAACCAATAAAAATAACACAGATAAAGTTAAATAAAAAATAAAAACACAGAAAAAGGTTTTATGTTCTACAGCTTCAGCTAGAGTTGAACCTGATGACTTGGCAACTTTGTCATCCGAGTAGAAACACACACAACAACATTGGCTGTCCTTATGTTTTCAAGTTTACCTTCACTGGTGGGTAGAATTTTTGTTTTGAATTCAGAAACATTAATTAAAATATATATTAACAGTGAATAAGTGTTGCTTTCATATTCTTATGTATAGTAATGACGATATGTTTTCACATGTACGCACTTACATACGTGATCTCACTTTTTTTCTTTACCCTTAATGGTTAGCTACTTATATTGTTCCATTTATTAACATTAAATAACATTATATTACATATATATATATATATATATATATATATATATATATATATATATATATATATATATATATATATATATATATATATATATATATATATATATATATATATATATATATATATATATACAGTACTCCCTCTTTATCGACGGATTTTTTATCACGGTTTCGATTATCGACGGATTATTTAGCCGGTTTTTATTTTGGCACCAAACAGCTTCTCCCAGTCCTCTCCTTGAACAGGGCTACAGGCTACGTGTTTTTCGAATCGTTTTCAGTTAAAAAATTATTACATCACACGTATATTTTACCTAAACTGCGCCTGAATGAATATATTCTCGGAAATAAATAGTAGTTTTGCTGAAACGTGATGTATTTCAATGTAAAATAGGATAAAATACATGACGAAAACAAAAGACTTTACCTAAGCTTCCGATGTTCTTGAGATGTTACTCGTTTTTTTAATAGTTTTCGGTTAAAATTCTGTTATATTACAATGATATTCTATTCATACTGTGCTTGATATAATACATTCACGGAAATGTAATATTTTTGCTGAAATGACGTACGTATTACAGTGGAAAGTGGGATAAAATCGTGACGAAAACAATGACTTGCGCTTTCTTTCGTTCAAAAGATGTTACCGTAATCACTTTTCGAATGGTTTAGTTAAAAAACTGTTGTATTACAATAATATTCCCTCCTAATTGACTTGAATAAATACTTGAATGGAAATATACAATATTTTTGTTGAAACTACCCGCGTTTCAGTGTAAAGTGTTGTAATAATAAATGGTAAACAATTTGCCTTGGGCATCCGGATTTTTGGACTTTTACTGTACTGTACACTGTTTTGTTTACTGTAAGGACCGATGTTCACTTCAATAAATGAAATCGTAAGTTTGCTAGTATTTTTGTCCACTTATTATATTATTATTTATACACTATTATTTAAGGTTATGTGTAAAGGAAACGCATTAATGCTTAAAGGTACATTTATTCAACATATGCTAATAATAGTTAGAAAAATTACGTAACCATCACGGTATCGACGGTTTCTTTATCGACGGCCGTTTACAGAACGTAACCCCCGTCGATAAAGAGGGAGTACGATATATGTATATATATATATATATATATATATATATATATATATATATATATATATATATATATATATATATATATATATATATATATATATATATATATATATATATATATATATATATATATATATATATATATATATATATATATATATATATATATATATATATATATATATATATATACATACATACATACATACATACATACAGTGAACCCTCACTTTACGCGGTTACTTCAACCCACAGGGTACCGCGGAAAGTGAGAAACGCGTAAAGTGAACAACATAACATATGGGATTAATTGAAATAGAGACCGGGCCGACCCCCAAACTCCACTTTTTGACGACACACAACTATGTTGTAGTAAAAATATTATATTAACTTTATGATGGTATGCACACACAATTAATAATTAAGAGAAATATCAATAATATTAGGTTTTTTAACACTTACATTAGTAGAAAAGATGGCTGGGCACACGGGGATGGGGGGTTGGAGGCAGAGGGCAGATTATTGGCCCTCACCTGTATCACTTGTATCAATTGTATCACTATCCACCACAGAGGCTTGCAGGGCCTCTTTGTCAAACCCCTCAAAGTCCATATAAGTCCATATCCTCACTATAATTATCACTATCACTGACATGGGCTGGCTGTGGTGGGTGGCGGGTGAAGAACTCGGTAATGTTTTGATGACTGGGCGACCTTGTGCGCACCCTGCTTGCGCCGCTTACACAACATGGCGGATGGCAGGAGAGGGCGGGAGAGATGGCGGGAGGTTTGGATCCAAAAATGGCGCGGCTCGCCAGCTGCTCTCCGCGTAAAGGGGTACACGCACCGCGGAATGTGAGCATTCCGGTTTCGGCAGGGTACCGCATAAACACGGAATGTGGGACCGCGTAAAGCGAGGGTTGACTGTATTAGCTCTTCTGCTACACTTTCCACCAACTGCTCAACATCTTCATTATCAGTTTCTAACTCCAGCTGTTTACCCAACTCCTCTATCTTGTTACTAATCTCAGAAATTGCTTCATCTTCATTAAATCCTTTGAAACTGTTCACATATCTTTTCAGGAACTTATTCCATTCATGCATTGACCTGTAACATCATCCCATACTGCAGCTATGTTCTTTATACATTTCAAAATGTTGTAGTCCTTCCAAAACTCTCTGAATGTTTTCTCACCTTCAGTAGCAGCAACAGCCTGAGCGAAGGTCGTACATAAATAATACGCTTTAAAAGCAGCAGTAGCACCTTCAGCCATCGGTTGGATGATAGAGGTAGTGTTAGGTGGAATGTAGACTACCTTAACATCAGGGTGCAGGTCGTCCAGGTGTGGTGGATGTCCCGGAGCATTATCCAAAATTAATAAAATCTTGAACGCAATCCCTTGTTGCAGACAATACTCCTTGGCTCGTGGAATGAAACAGCTCAGGAACCAATCCTCAAACAGTACTAGGGTCATCCATGCTTTCTTATTACTGCGATAAAACACTGGCAGTGTGTGCTTGCTGACATGTTTAAAAGCCCTTGGGTTATCTGAATGATATATCATAAAGGGCTTTATCTTGAAACCATCTACATTCCCCCCAACAGAAGTGTAATTCGGTCCTTGAATGCCTTGAATCCCGGCATGGTTTTCTCCTCTTTGTGGATGTATGTCCGTTCTGGTATGCACTTCCAGAATAAGCCAGTTTCATCTACATTAAATATTTGCTCAGGCAAATAATTTCCCTCCACGATGACACGATCTAGCTCCTCCTTAAAAGCTTCGGCATCGCCTACATCAGCACTTGCTGCTTCTCCACTCGCCTTTACACTGTGCAAACTGTAACGGTTCTTAAACCTTCTTGCCTTAGCCTGTAGGGTTAGAAGGCTTAAGGGTACACGCTTTTGTATCTGATCTTCCATCCACACCAAAAGTAATTTTTCCATCGCATGAAGAGGACCTTGTCTTTTTTCGTTATTATTGTTCCCTTTATAGGTGCTGATCCTTTCACTACCTCACGAATTTGTTCCTTGTCCTTCAAAATTTTTGATATCGTCGAGTGAGAGAAGCCTAGGTCGAGTGAAATGGTTGCTACCGTTTTTCCATTTTCATATTGCATTATTATTTTAATTTTCATCTCAAAAGTAATTGACTCTCTTTTTTTTCTGAGCACCACCAGAACTCTCACTTTTACGCTTGCCAGTCATTCTAAAGGGAATTAGAAACGAAAATATTATCAGTACACAGCGCGATCACTACCAACAACAACGACAGCCAAACACCAACTGAGTGTGCTACGGCGTGGACGCTGTACACCACGCGGCGACCCAGCCCACTCGACGCTCTCGTACGGGACGGAAACATTTCGGTCCTAGAAAATACGTACGGAGTTTGAAAATTTTTTAGTACGACTGAGGCTGTCGTATGTCCGGGTGGTCGTATGTCGAGTAGGTCGTAGGTAGAGGAGTACCTGTACAATGTTGTCATGGTTGTGCCTAACTCTACTGTATCGAGCGCATGCAGTTCAAAACTTGAGAATTTCAAATAATTTTGAGTTATCGCATGTTTCACACACCTTTCAGAAAAGTGGTATTTTTGGAAAACAGTACAGTACAGCACAGTACTGTACTGTTTTAGATACGTGGTTTTCTTCTGTTTGTGAAAAAAGTTGCAGACTTGATTCTAACAATATTTGTGTGAAAGAAAGATTAGCCAGAATGATGCATAATAGGTTCAGAGGTTCTAATTTTGGCACTTGTTAACAGTATATTGTTCTGTTAAGCTTTGATAGTTTGTTTACTGTTAATAATATTACAAAGTATATTTGTCTCAGTACTGAAACGTGGGTGAAGTTCCATTGTCCATCAGTTTCCACCTGTCACCCAGCACGTGCTGGAAGGTCTCATTTTTCTTTTTATTTCCTCTCCAAAGCCACCATTGGATGCTCATAAAATTCTGCTTCTATAATTATATACTGTAATACATTTGTAGGTTTGGAAGAAAATATCAAAGATATATGGGGAACATAAATATTTTTTCTGTATTCCGAGTGAAAAATATTGTCGTATTCTATTTTTTTAATGCTTATATTAAAGCCAAAACAATAATGAAGCTAGTAATGTATAAATCATGCCAAAAATAAATAAATAAATAAATAAAAAATTTTGTGAGATACATTGGCTACAGAACAAAGATGCCCAGACTATACTGTATGTGAGTGGTGATGATAGGTCACATTATGACTTGTTGTGGTCACAGAAACTTAAAAAATTATTATGTACTCAAGGGGGATCATGTTATATTTAACCATGAAAGTACTTATAACTACTTTCCCGAATATTTAACTTATGTTCCAGTGTACTTTATGGTTTCACATTGAGGAAAGTGGGCCATGGATTTATGAATCATATTTTAAGCATTTAAAAAATTGACAGTTAAGGTATAGATAATAATGATGTCGGGGAGAAGCAGGATTCAAAACAGAAAAAGTGAGAAATTGGTAAGTTCATAGAACAGTTACCAGTCACTTAGCTTAGATAAGGAGTTAAAGTGGGTTTACTCAGCCCTGCCTACTATTCTATGTACTAGTTCTTTCTTGTATTCATCTTATACTGTTCTATTTTTGTTAGATATATCTTTTATCTTGTTTACTATTTTTGTAATTTCATGTATAATTTAATTTCTTCAGAGAGGAACGTAAGTGGAGGAAGTGGGTGGATGATGTGTTTGTACATGTTCTCTCACCAAACGTATATCGAACTACAAAGGAAGCATTCCAGGCATTCGAGTGGTTCTCTAAGGTAAGTGTTTATAGAATGTACAGTTACAAATGTTAATTAATGAATTTGAAAGATTATGTACTAAAAGAAAAAATTATATGATTGTGAATGTTAACAAAATAAGTGATGAAAATGGGGAGGGGGTGAAATGTTTAAAGTATCTAGGAGTGGATGTGTCAACAAATGGAATGGTGCATTTTAAATTTAACCACAGAATAGTAGAAGAGACAACTGTATAAAACAAAACAATGGGATGGAGAGGTGAAAGGTTGAACCAATATCAATGTTCAGTATTGGTGAGAAACATAGAAAAAATTAGAAGCAACAGAAATGATATGCTGAAGAAAAATTTTTTCCCAAATCTTCTCCCTCTTAAACTCATATCGTTTGTAAAGAAGTGTCAATTGTCTATCACATTTATCCTTCACTCATTATCATCAATTCTTTCTTAACTTCTGTAAATGTATATATTGCAATTTTAGTTTGCCTTTCATAATACAGCCCCAAATCTGGTTTAGTCCTGTTCTTGCACATAAATTAGCTTCGCCCATCAACAGTACAACAGTATGTCCTTCCCCCCAAATTGCTTAGTGTTCTGCTTTCTTTTCATGTATACAGCTGTTTCCTGGATGTCTACCCCCCTTACTTCTAGTTTGTGCTTTATCCCATCCTTTCTATCTCCTTGGTCTTTCTCTCACTTATCCTTCTCTGAGATTATCTGTACTGCTGGAGCAGATCTTGATCAGTTCTGCCTGATTCTTAAATCTTCTAATTACTGTACAGTAATCCCGTGTTTCTCTTGGGAATTACGTTACTGAAACCCCCACGAAAAGCCAACACCGCAAATACTCTTTAGGGATCACTGTACCTGTAGCCACCAAACAGCTCAGGTAGGTCATGCAGTTAACCACGTCATGCTCTCCACTCACGGCCCAGTGGTCACACTGATGCACTGTACCGGCATTCACTTACAGTACAGTATTACCCCGCCTAACGCGGTTTCACTTAACGCGTTTTATCATATACGCGGTGCCTCGCCAGAGCTGAACTTTCACTTAACACGGATTTTTTCATCATATACGCGGTGAGTGTCCAGTGTCCGGCTCCAGACGCTATTTTTAGATTTGCCCCACCCTGCCTGACTGCCTGTTTTAGCTCATAAAATTCATACAAATTACCCGGCCAGAATATAATTTACATTGCTGGAATTCATATAATTTGGTGATCATTTTGAATATAAACATCATATATTTTGCATTAGACATACAAATTTTAGATAACATTTTTTTTCTGGGTAACTATGTTATCTTTTGTGCAAAATATATGACATTTATATTCAAAATATTCCTGGTCTTACAAGGAATCCAGCAATGTCAATTATATTATCCTAACTTTAGTTTGAGGTATTATTTATTACAAAAAAGCTAAGTATTCTGGTTTTCCCACACATCTCCTTGGGATGGTTGGTGGAGGGTGGGGGGAGGGAGGGACCGACCGACCATCTGTTACCCCGTGAAGAATATTTTTTTTTTTTTATTAACTGAAGATATTTGTTTTAGCTCATAAAATTCATACAAATTACCCGGTCAGAATATAATTTACATTGCTGGAATTCTTATAATTTGATGATCATTTTGAATATAAACATCATATATTTTGCATTAGACATAAAATTTTTAGATAAAATGTTTAATCTGAGTAAGAATGTTATCTTTTGTGCAAAATATATGACGTTTATATTCAAAATATTCCTGGTCTTACAAGGAATCCAGCAATGTCAATTATATTATCCTAACTTTAATCTGAGGTATTATTTAATACAAAATGTTAAAATCTAAATTTTTCACCCACTCTTCTCTTGAAGGGATGATTGGTGGGGGGTGGGGGGGAGGGTTGGGACTGACCGCGTGGTTGGAAGAGGGGGAAGGCAAGGTGGGGTACTTTGATTGACAGATAGTGTCCTGAAGATTATTATTTTTTTATTAACTGAAGATATTTGTTTTAGCTCATAAAATTCATACAAATTACCCGGCCAGAATATAATTTACATTGCTGGAATTCTTATAATTTGGTGATCATTTTGAATATAAACATCATATATTTTGCATTAGACATACAAATTTTAGATAAAAAAATTTCTGAGTAACTATGTTATCTTTTGTGCAAAATATATGACATTTATATTCAAAATATTCCTGGTCTTACAAGGAATCCAGCAATGTCAATTGTATTATCCTAACTTTAGTTTGAGGTATTATTTATTACAATTTAGTGGTTTTCCCCCAAAAATTTCTCAGAGAGGGAAGAGCCGGCAGTGTAGTGTGAGGGAGTTGAGTCCATTATTTGAATGGACATTAACTTGGCGACTGTATTTCTCTATTTCTCTTAAGTATTAATTGTGTGCATGTACCATCATAAAATTAAGATGTTATTTTTACTACAACATAGTTATGTGTCTTCAAAAAGTGGAGTTTGGGGGTCGGGCCGGTTTCTATTGGAATTAATCCCATATGTTCTGTTGTTCACTTAACGCGGATTTCACTTAACACGGGACCCTCTGGGTTCTATTGACCGCGTTAAGTGGGGTACAACTGTACATCATTACAGTGGTCTCTCGGTTAACGAACACAATTTGTTCCAGAGGGTCGTTCGTTAACCGAAAATTTCGTTAACCAAATCCATTGTTTCAATGGGATATTGGGTAATTGGTTCCAGCTCATCGAAAAGTACATACAAAGTACTATAAAAAAAATGCAGTAAAGTACACTTACTTTGAGGTGTGTATGTAGAAGGCTCCTGGTTGATGATGATGATGGAAATTAGAAGTGGGGTGGAGGAGAAGGGAGAAGAGAAGGAAGTGGGGATGGAGGAGAAATCACCTTTCAGGGGACCCATGCATGATGCAGTCATTTCACCCAAAAAAATTTAAGTTCACTAGGTGTAAATCAAGATTATTTTATTTAAATCAACACTGCACTGTGCTGTATATTATCAATATGTTAACTAAAGTTCAGAATGACCAATAATTTCAATGAAAAATGCAAAATTATTCAAGACACCAACAAAATAGTTGCTCTCTCGATTGTAAACAAAGCCAGACTGACGCCTGGTGGCCGACCCACGCATCTGATGGGTACACAACTAACTAGTTCCCTGTACTGCATATATTATCAATATGTTAAATAAATGTTAAAATGACTAATAATTTTAATAGAAAACAAGCATAAATATTATAAAGCACAACTTTATTGATATTTACTCCATTGGAAACGAATATAAACAGAACAGATTACTGAATTGGCTGAGTACCCCGTCAGCTGATGTTCAAAACAAAACATGATTTTCATAAGAATTTCGTTAATCAAATTTATGTTCGTTAACCGATTTGAAGATTCTTATGGAAGGTAATTCGTTAACCGAAGCGTTCGTTAACCGAGGGACCACTGTATTTGAAACTAATCATATTGTAGTATAATAATGGAAAAATGTAAACACAGTTACAGTAAAAGTCCAAAAATCCGGACCACCCGAGAATCCTGACTTTTCGAAAACTCGACTTTTTTTTTTTTTTTTTTTGCTGGGTTTTGTGTGTATGTGCGCATGCGTGAGCGCCACAGCTGCACAGCGACAACAAGCGACCATGCGGTCGCCACTTTAAAACGAGCAATCAAACTGTGACAACGTATGTAATTTTTAGTCCTACTCTTTCCATTTGCAGAGCCCGTAATAATGGCTCCTAAAGTAGATAAAGTCCGTTGTGTGAAGAGAAAGAAGAACACGTTGAAATTGAGTGACAATCTTTAAATAATTAAAATAGAACGTGGTGTGAGCAATACTGTTCTAATGGAAACACAACATTGGAAAGTCTACAATTTATGATATAAAAAAGGCAAAGAATAAAATTCTAGAATTCACAGCTTTTAATTTAAAACTGCTCGTTTTGATAAATGAAGCATGCTATATTTGCTAATGAATAAACTATCAAAATGTATCTGTTCATCTCTTCTTTATTCCTCCTTAAATTTGAATTTTAAAAGTACTGCCTGAGAATCCGGAAAATCCGGACCGACCCAATCCCCAAGCAGTCCGGATTTTTGGACTTCTACTGTATATACAAAAAAAAATTATTTACAAGTAAATAAAAAAAAATTATATTCCGCTGAGGTCGGCAACACCCACATTGCCAGTCTCTCCCAGCTGTCCCGGCTTCTGCCCGCACCTCACGCAGTCACGCCAGCCATCCAGTCTTCCACCCACATTCCTCCACTTGAAGACTTGTATTCTGACAAAAGACACAAATGAATTGTCAATCTTCACCACATCTCGAGTCATAGCTCATACCACCTCTGAGCTTGTCCAATAAAACTGTTTTTTCCGTTAAGTCATCACTATTCTTGATCTCTTGGTCACTTTAGAGTCTTTGCTAGTAATATTTGCCTTTGATGAGGCTGGCTTATGTCCCGGAGCCATGTGGAATGCATGTGGGAGGACAAACAGAAGAGGTAATCACAGCGTTCACAGTACGGTAGGCATGTGTGGACTGAGGCTTCTCGGAACAGCAGGTGTCTGAGGCAGGAAAGAGTGGCGTCTGTTTGCCGCACCGCACAGGAATATCGAAAATGTCGCAAAATTTTAAATTGTGTTTTTAAAGGATATTTTATATATTAACAGTGGTCCCTCGGTTAACAAACATAATTCGTTCCACAGAGTCGTTCATTAACCGAAAATTTCGTTAACTGGATCCATTGTTTCAATGGGATATTGGGTAATCGGTTCTCCAGCTCATTAAAAAGTACATACAAAGTGGAAAAAAATGCAGTAAAGTACACTTACTTTGAGGTGTGTATGTAGAAGGTTCCTGGTTGATGATGATGATGGGAATTAGAAGTGGGGGAGGAGAAGGGAGAAGAGAAGGAAGTGGGGATGGAGGAGAAAACACCTTTCAGGGGACCCATGCTTGATGCAGTAATTTCACCAATAAAATTTTAACTTCACTAGGTGTATTTCAAGATTATTTTATTTAAATTAACACTGCACTGCGCTATATATTATCAATATGTTAGCTAAATTTCAGGATGAGCAATAATTTTAATGTAAAAATGCAAAAATATTCAAGACACCAACAAAATCATGTTCACTCCACTGTAAATAAAGCCACACTGACGCCTGGTGGGTGAATCAAGCGGCTGATGGGCGCATAAAAAACTAGTTCCCTGTACTGCATATACTATCACTATGTTCACTAAATTTTAAAATTACTAATAATTTTAATATAAAAAATGCAAAAATATTAAAGAGCACAACTTTCTTGATATTTACTCCACTGGAAATGAATGTAAACATAGAACAGATTACTGAATTGGCAGACTAGCCCATCAGCTGATGCTCACAACAAAACATGTTTGTCGTAAGGATTTCGTTAATCAAAGTTTTGTTCGTTAACCGAATTGAAGATCCTTATGGGAGGTAATTCGTTAACCGAAATTTCATTAATCGAACCGTTCGTTAACCAAGGGACCACTGTATATATAATTTGAGTAAAAAAAACGTGAATGGTCAAAACTGCAGAAAAACGTGAAAAACACGGGATTACTGTATTCCCTTTTAACCCCACATAATACATTTCCAAATGTCATTTCTGTTACTCCTAATTTGTAACTTTCTCTTGCATCTACGTGATAGTCAGACACTCCATGGACAGACACTTTTAGAATGTCTACATACCTCATTATACAATTCATTTTTATATTCACTATGGACTAGTGCATAGTCAGCAACCTATTTGTCCTTTCTATTGTTACACTTCCATGTATACAGTATTTATGGATTTCCTTTTAATTCCACACATACCTTATTATCAATCCTCATTTTGTACATTTCTTGCAGTCTATCTCCATCTCCAGTCCTTCCTGATACAGTGGTCCCTTGGTTAACGAGCACAATCCGTTCCAGCAGGTTGCTCGTTAACCGAAACCATTGTTTCAATGGGTTTTTGGGTAATTGGTTCCAGCTCACCGAAAGTTGCCTAAATTAAAAAAAAAAGGTAGAAAAGTACACTTAATTTGAGGTGTGTATGTAGAAGGCTCCTGGATGATGATGAGAATTAGAATGGGGGTGAAGGAGAAGGGAGAAGAGAAGGCATTGGGGTGGAAGAGAAGTCACCCCATGGCGCCATTTCACCCATAAAATTTTAGTTCTCTTGGTGTAATTCAAGATTATTTTCTTTAAATCAACACTGCACTGCATTATATATTGTCAATATGTAAAATAAATTTCAAAATGACCAATAATTTGCTTGCAAACAGAAAAAAAGCATTTAGTTGAAGAGAGTCTCAAGCAAGATGTTACCTCCACTGAAAAGACAGAAGACTGGCGCCTGTTTGGTTTGTTGCCAGGCTGGATGGCGTGCATAAAACTAGTTACCTTACCTTCAATTATGTTCAATAATTGTTAAAATTACTAAAAAATTTAATATTAAACTTTTAAAATTATTGAATAGTATAATCTTCTTGATATTTACTAAAATAGTAAGGAATTTAAGCCCAAAAACCGATTACTGTATTGGCGGACTAATACTACAGCTGGTGGACCGCCAAATGCAAGTGAAAACATGTTGAGGTCAGCTCGTAAAAAACTCGTTAATCGAGGGATTGCTCGTTAACCGAAGTTAAGAATCTTATGGAAGGTAAATCGTTAACCGAAATCTCGTTAACCGAGGCGCTCGTTAACCGAGGCGCTCGTTAACCGAGGGATCACTGTACTGTACTCCATATTTACTGAAGATCCCTTCCACATCCTTGTCACTCACCTTTGCTTTTAAATATCCGATCACCATCACTTTTTGCATGTTAAATTTTTTGTTGCAGTGTTTAGGTCTTCATAAAATCCCTTCCTCTTTTTTTTATACCTTTGGAAATTATATACGGTTTAGAATTTTGTATGTACAATATTTCAATTAGTCAAATGAAATGATGCGTGATCATCAGTCATGTTACTGATAGAAAATAGTGCCGAGAGCACCTTAAAATAGACTTGTACGGATTTTGAGGGATGTCCATTTTTCTTTACAAACAGTATACTGTAGTAATACTAAGTATTGGGTAACAAGAAAAGGCAATGAAGAGGAAAATAAAGTTGTTAAAATAATTTTTGGAATTAAAAATATGTAACTGAGTATACCTAACAAAAACATACAGTATTGGAAAACTATTTTTTCCCAATGGTTGTACACCCCACGCCAAGTGAGCTTAGCTCATCTATTTTAATTTGCTGAAATAAGTAGTAGTCGCAGCAGTCTTCATGATCCCTTAGTGTTAACTTGTTATTGTCTTGGGAAGGGTACATGAGTAAGTGTATCTTGGATCACTACTTGATACAGTCACAAAATACCAAAGCCTCCTTTATTTGCTAAGAGGGCACAGTAGGGCCAGGATATATCTTGAAATAGGGTCCAACGATGTTCGCTATACTGTATACTAAATCGTTATACAGTGGTCCTTCGGTTAATGAACACAATTCGTTCCAGAGGGTCGTTCGTTAACCGAATCCATTGTTTCAATGGGCACTTACTTTGAGGTGTGTATGTAGAAGGTTCCTGGTTGATGATGATGATGGGAATTAGAATTGGGGGTGGAGGAGAAAGGAGAAGAGAAGGAAGTGGGGATGGAGGAGAAATCACCTTTCAGGGTACCCATGCATGATGCAGTCATTTCACCCAAAAAAAAATTAAGTTCAATAGGTGTAATTCAAGATTATTTTATTTAAATCAACACTGCACTGCACTATATATTATCAATATGTTAACTAAATTTCAGAATGACCAATAATTTCAATGAAAAATGCAAAAATATTCAAGACACCAACAAAATATATGTTCACTCCACTGTCAACAAAGCCCAACTGACGCCTGGTGGCCGAGTCAAATGTCAAAGTTTTGTTCGTTAACCGAATTGAAGATCCTTATGGTAGGTAATTCGTTAACCGAAATTTCATTAATCGAACCGTTCGTTAACCGAGGGACCATTGTATATAATTTCATGTAATCAATGGGGAAAATAGGGTTAGGTTCTGGAGGCCAATAAAAGTGACCAAACTTGACTTAACGAGTTCATTTTCTTACTAACTAAAGCACCAACGAACACTAGACTCGGGAACAACAGCCTGTTTCAATATCAATATCAGGGAACACCAGATTCGGCAGCTGACGCACCATCCTGGGAACACCAGACTCGGCAGCAGATGCCACACTGCCACCATCACTTGACAATCCTACACCTACATAAACAAACACCAAAAATATTAGTTACAGTATTAAATCTTTTCCATTAAGCTTTCCATTCTCTTCATCTCACTTTTCACGTCACTAGCAACCCATTTACTCTCACCTTAGCAGTCGTAATCTCCAGTAGAGTCAACTGCTTTCTCGTCACTCACTCAGAAAGACTGAGCGGGCGAGTGTGAATGCGTGAGTGAGCAGCCACGGTGGCGCCTCTGGTGAGCAAATAACGTATTTGTTTGCCATGGCGGTACATTTGAAATATTTCTTGCCCGATTTTCTTCGCAAAATAAAAAAAAATATGATCGCTATATATAGGAATTTTTTTTACAATTTTGGTAGCTGCGGCATAAAAGTATCATTATATAAAGTCGCAATATAGCCTGACCCTACTTTACAGTATTCTATAAATTATTCTTGCTTGCTTCAGATCTGATTTATTAACATTCTTATGTATAATTAAATATATAATTAGATTGTTTTGTTGTTGAAGGTTGGCGACTGGGAGGAACACTTTGCAACATGGGAGCGGTTATTGGTTGTTTATGTTGGTGCAGTTGCTATGTTTCTCATTGGCAAGAATTTGAAAAGAAGGTAATGTGAAAATTTGTCCACGTTTTTAACATAATTTTGTATTGATTTTCCAACCTATAAGGAGAATACATATCAAATTAGAGTTTTACATATGAAACAAAAATCATTATGGGTATTAGTTTACTGGGTAATTTAGATTTTCTAATTTCACTTTACTTATAAGATGTGCTAGTTTACCCATATATAGTACATGAACTCCTAAAAATATGTATCAAAGTATAATATGGTATTGGGTTATTTAGAAAAGCAGAGATTGTTGTTTCCTGTACATGATTTATTTTATTTATTTATTTATTTTTTCCTTGGGTCATCATCAATGACTTGAGAGATCACTCAGCCGAACACTCTGAGGCAGGGTCAGTGTCCTATTGGAGCATTGTTAACGTAAAAGGAAGCCACTTTTTATGTATTTTTTCCAGGTTATTTGTTAAAGTAACACCAAGGATATTGATATTAGGGGCTGGTAATGGTCTTGTTTCTGAGAGAAAGTAAGAGTAGGTTTTGATGGTGTTGTGTAACAAATTTTATCTACTCCACTGTGGACTCAACATTTGTGTTCAAGGCAGTTGTACGTAAGAGAACAGATAACAGGAGATCTATTGGACTAGTCAGGCTATTTGCAAACTAAATTATTTTAGATAGAAAGACAAAATATTCTCCTCTCACATTCCATTCTCTCTTGCATCAAAGTGACAAGAAAGGATTAAACTATCATAAAGCACCATGATGTATAGAACAACTAACATGAAGTTTATATAGACAATCTAGGATTAAGACCCCTTCCTCCCCCCAAATTGTCTGGTGGGCACACGACATACATTCAGAAGAACAGTAGAGGCGAACAGTTGAAGCGATCACTTAGTTTTACTTTACATAATTTAACCTGTAAAATACAAACTGAAGTAATGAGACCTCAGTGGGGTCTCCGTACTGGTCACAGGATAGGACATGTAGTGGCTCACTCAATGTAAATTTTTTTATCCTTCCTTGACAGTGGCATCGCCAAACAGCCAGATAGTAAAAAGCACATTAGGCCCATTGCGTCTTACATGTTATAGTATTGTGCGATAATACCCGGTTATTCAATAAACACAATTTATGTACAATCAGTAGGTTATTGACATCCCACTTTTGATATCTAAGGATATTTTCTCAAAACAACTCATTGATTATTTTGTAGTAAAATATATTCATTTGCCTACTTTACTGTTACCACATTCTACACTTCCTTTCTCGAGCACACATTTACACTAACCATAACATACATCCCTCTAGTACATTGTAATTTTTTTTCCAGACATCAGCTAAAAGATGACGTTAGATGCTCATTTTATGAAGAAACTAATGTTTGGCTCAAAGCCCTGAAAAAGAAAGGTACAAAGTTCATGGGTGGAGACCAGCCCAATCTCTCAGATCTTGCAGTATATGGGATATTGACTGCAGTTGAGGGGTGTGATGCTTTTCAGGACCTTAAAAATAATACAAAAATTACTCCATGGTTTGAACGCATGAAGGAAGTTGTCATACAGCATGGAGGAGCTACATCTACAGGTGAAAAAGGAAGTGCAGCATAATGGAAATTAACATTAACCCGAGATATCAATTCCTTTAGTTTTGAAAATAATTTTGAAGCCTTCCTAAATGTACTGCATTGTACACTATATCCACTGCAGGGGTATATGTTGAAATAAGATTGCTGACTAATGATTTTTATTTGTTTACAGTAATGTACAGAACAGGGAGTATTGAATATATATGTGATCAAATGCATTTTTCACATAAGTTTGACATTAGTATTTGTGGAACTGAAGCATCTCAAAAATCCTTTGCAACCATGGAAAGATTAAAGATGGTACAAGAATCAGTGAGTAAGTTTTAAGGAGAATGGTAGCAGTGTAGAGCAACAAATAGGCCATTGCTAATATCTTGTGTTGGCATTTTCAATGAAGTAATGTGGTCATGTAAGAATTTTAATTTAATAACCAAGATAGAAATGTTGTCCATATTATAGAAAATAATGTTTATACCATTGGTGAAGTTTCAATATTACAATTCACCCTACAGTATGTAAAGGTAAAATATTTATGGTAAAAAATTTTGGCATCAACCTAATGACATAAAAAAAAAAAGTGTAAATACAATTTTATATTTATTGAATAAATTTTATTAACCTAAGAGGCACGGGTGGTCCCCATTTGAGGTTCACGGCGCCAGAAGCTCGCTGAACAGGCTTTGTGTGGAGGCTCAATGGATTCAGCACCTACCTCATGTCCGTGTCTATATTGTACAATGTTTTGTACGTATAGGCTGGGTACCAATAAGCATCTGGTAAATTAATTATGATCTTTATTTTCTTTGTTACTTTTACGTATCAACTGTGCCATCATATCCCATTGTTCGTCAGAGATGATGTTTAAATCGTTGAACTCCCCAGCCATCGAGCAGTACTGTCCTCCATCAAGTCCCAAAGTCTGCCAATGAAAACTGCTAATTAGAAAAATACATTAGCCCACATCTTATGCTAATTTCATGCCCTGGTTCTTTACACATATATAGGAAGGTAACTAAAGTACTGGTAGGTACATTTGTCTAAAAATGTTTAGTCAATTCACTTCATATAATCATCCATACTAAGATCCTTATCGCTAGCAAAGTATAACACTGTACAGTACTTTGAAATTTTACCCAAACTGGGCAATATAAGTGATCAAACAATTGAAAATTCTGAACTCGCCTTATCATGTTCATTTAAGCACAGCCTGCCCCACCCCAGCAAGATGTATGTTGCCACACAAAGTCAGTCAGTCCATGTCACATTAAAAAACACAGTACACTGTAGGTGTATACAAACTCAATCAAAGGAGCATATGCAGTACAATACAGTCATTATGTATTTCAAATAATATTCAATCATGTTAAGTACAATTCTGTACATAGTATATTAACATACTTTTGGTAGCATTATGCAGAAACTGTTAAACTGACATTTGCCAAATGCCATAACTCAAGTGTTGAAACATCCTGATGATGTGTTGAAGTTGAGAACAGTATTTTTATTTCACAACTTAATTTTATTACTGTACAGTAAGGTCTTGTATTTCGCGAGTAATATACTGTAGACTGGAAAAATTGTGCCAAATGCAAATACATAAACTAATGGAAAAATAACAATACTCTATAGGCTGGCCACTCTACATCAACCTCTGATTTTCCCATTTATAACCTCCAAATGATACAAATTCTGGAAATTAGTTTTTAGGCCTTCCTCAAGTAATTTAATCACACGCTGCTTATTCTGCATCGAGTACTTGGCAAACTTAACTCCCTTACGATAGTCCAGTTTCTCCTTTTCCTTATTTGGCCGCTTAGGTGGGTCTGTCCCACCCCCACAAGCACCAGTAGGACCCCCAGTAGAGGTAGAGGCCATTATCTTGACTCAACAGGTGGTAGCACCACCCAAAATAACAGCTCGGGTGGTGACTAAGATGGCGTTGGCTACAACGCAATAGTTGCGTTCTTGTAAACCTTTTACATTCACCACCGGCAATTCGATCACCAGAACGCTTCTTGGAAACATTCTTCTCACCTTGTCTTTCCGTATTCATTGCTAACACAACAAAATTGGAGAAAACAGTGAAAATCACGGAGTAATTGACAGAAACCATGCGATTCAACTGATCACGTGATGTAAACAGAGAGTGCTGGTATAAACCGTTATTAGTCCTCATTGCAAAACATTCTTTTTACTTAGTCTTTTCATACAGTATTTAGGGGTAACAGCTAAATTTGCACCAAAAAAAAAAATTGTATGGTACCTCTCAAAAAACACGAATCAATTGAACATGTGATGTCGAATGTGAACTGGAAACATTGCATAACCCCACGCCAGGCTTAAAACATTGAGGATGGAATCGCGCTATAGCCAACATTCGAAGGCAAAAGTTCGTGTTTTACAAACAGCATTCCCCTATTCATCATTCGCGTTGACAAAACACGCATTGTAGCAGAAATGACTAACTGGTATGAGGACTTTCAGCTGACTGGATCTCGCGAAATTCATGATATTTTACGCCAAATATGAGACTTGGTTACATTAAGTAGTGCTCGCGAAAAGAAAGCACGCGGAATATGAGATCTTACTGTATACAAAAAAACAGTAGCCATGGGTTATTTCATGAGACAGGGACTGAGAATGTTTGTGGACACGAAGTAAATAATTGCAACAAAGTATAGTCTCGTTTTACATGGTCAATTAAACCCATGGAGGTCCGCGTATAATGCGAAACGCGTAAACAAAATAACAACATATGGGATTAATTGAAATAGAGACTGGGCCGACCGCCAGACTACCCTTTTTCCGACACAATACGTACATTGTAGTAAAAATAACATCTTAATTTTATGATGGTATGCACACACAATTAATATTTAAGAGAAATATCAATAATATTTGGATTTTAACACTAACGTTAGTAGAAGAGATGACTGGGCACACGGGGATGGGGGGTTGGTTCCAAGGCAGAGGGCAGATTATTGGCCCTCACCTGTATCACTATCCACCACAGAGGCTAGCAGGGCCTCCTTGTCAAACCCCTCAAAGTTCATATCCTCACTATCACTGACTTGGGCTGGCTGTGGTGGGTGAAGAACTCGGTAATATTTTGTTGACTGGGTGACCTAGTGCGCACCCTGCCCGCGCTGCTTCCCGCATAAATGATGGAATGTACCGCGTAACTTATAATTGGCGCGTCTGGCCAGGTGCCACGTAAATGACCAACCGCGTAAAGGAAATCCGCGTAAATCGAGACTATACAGTACTGTACTGTACAAAAAATATATACTGTACTGTTGGTATGGGCAACACGCGGAATGAACCATGTCTTTGTGCGGCCTGCGAATTGATTGAGAAATTCTATTTAATGTGGCCCGCGGTTCAGGTAGATGCAGCCAGCATATGGTGAGTAAAGCAATAGTTATTAAAAGAATAATCTTTACACACAATTCATTACTGTGGGTGGGTGTGTATTAAAATTAAGAAAAATGCTGTAACTGTAGGAAAATCAATGTATTCACAGACTGCTTCATTCATCTTCTGTTAAATGCTAAAAACATTAAAATTTTACTTTGAAAATTATGATGGATTAGTTTCATAAATGGGAAAAAAGGTGAAAATATCATAAGGTGGACGTGATGATAAACTGTTTCACTGTCCATGCAAATACAATATTAACATTACTTTGGCAGGGGTGGATCCAGGGGGGGATCCTGGGGGTCCAAACCTCCCCCTTTCATCAGATAATTCCAATACCCTTTCTTTAATGCAGTATTGTACTCAGGCATTTTTGTATAGTAAAAAGTAAATACTATTGACCTCAGAATGTCTCTTAATATCAAGTGTACATGGCTTCAAAATGCCCATGATATTGGTCTTTCATGGGTTTATGCCCAGGTAAAGAGGCTTCATCTCTGGTGATAAATGTTCTTTTGGGCATCTTTTTCCAGAACAGCCCAGTTTCGTCCACATTGAACACTTACTGTGGAAGATAATTTTCTGTATCCATCAGTTCTTTAAATTCCACTAAAAACTTTGCTGCCCCTTCCTTATCAGCACTGGCAGCCTCACCATGCCTAACAACACTAAATATGTCACTTATTTTCTTAAATTTTTCAAACCAGCCCTTGCTGGCCCTAAAATCTTCTAAGTCTGTGCCTGAAGAACCAGGTTGGTCTACCTTTAAATGTTTGTATATTTCCCTGGCTTTTTTACACAAATTCAGTAGAAACTGAATCACCTTTCATCTGTTTTTCCCTAATCCAGATGAGAAGTAACCTCTCTGTTTCTGCTATGAGGGATCTACCTTTGAACACTCTGGTAGATTTGTCTCTCACTTTCACTTCCTTGAATTTGTCTTTCTGTGCAAGAATTGTCGACACAGTTGATGTCGACGTGCCATATTCTTTGCTTAGCACATTTGTTCCAATGCCTTCTTCATGTTATCTAATTATTTCCTGTTTCATCTGAATTGAAATCGCTTTTCTAGATTTCTTGGGACCCGTGCTAGATTCAAAAACAAGTTCAACACGTGATATTTAAGTTTAATTGCTGTAAATAAAGAATATTTTCTTTAAATTAACACTGCACTGCGCTATATATCATCATATGTAAAATAAATTTCAAAATGACCAATAATTTGACTGAAAACTCAGGAAATAAAAGCGTTTATGTTGAAGAGAGTCTGAAGCAAGATGTTACCTCCACTGAAAAGACAGAGACTGACGCCTGTTTGGTGTGTTGACAGACTGTTTGGCATGCATAAAACTAGTTTCCTGTTCTTCAATTATGTTCAATAATTGTTAAAATGACTTAAAAAATTTATATAAACTTTTCAAATGATTGAATAGCACAACCTTCTTGATATTTACTAAAATGGTAAGGAATTTAAGCCCTAGAACTGATTACTGTACAGGTACTCCTCGACTTACGACCACCCTGACATATGACCGCCGCAGTCGTATAAAATATTTTTCAAATTACGTATTTTCAAATCCTGACGTTAGTGATCGCGCTGTGCGCTGTGTACTGACAAAATCTTTGTTTGTAATTCCATTTAAAATGGCTGGCAAGCGTAAAAGTGAGAGTTCTCGTGGTGCTGAGAAGAAAAATAAACACTCATTTTAGATTTTCTCTTTATTATTTTCGCATTTTCGACTTACGACCAATTCGACTTACAACCTGGTTGTTGGTCCCTAACCCTGTCGTAAGTTGAGGACTGACTGTATTGGCGGACTAATACGACAGCTAGTGTTCAAGCGAAAACATATTGAGGGGCTCTCGTAAGGAATTCGTTAATACCCCGATTTACGCGGTCAATTGAACCCACAGAGGTCCGTGTAAAACGAAACGCGAAAATGGAATAAGAGAACATATGGGATTAATTGAAATAGAGACTGGTCCGACCCCCAAACTCCACTTTTTCGACACAATACCTATGTTCTAGTAAAAATAACATCTTAATTTTACGATGGTATGCACACACAATTAATATTTAAGAGAAATAGAGTCACCAGGTTAATGTCCATTCAAATAATGGACTCAACCCCCCTCCTCCCCCCTCACTTCCTACACTCGCTGGCTCCTCCTTCTCTGAGAAATGTTTGGGTGAAAACACTAGATTTTAAGGTATAGTAATAAATAATACCTCAAACTAAAGTTAGGATAATATAATTGACATTTCTGGATTCCTTGCAGGTCAGGGAATATTTTGAATGTAAACTTCATATATTTTGCACAGAAGATAAAATATTTGCTTTGTGTAAACCAAATTATTACACTAGATCTAAAATTTGTATGTCTAATGCAAAATCCATGATGTTTATATTCAATATGATCACCATATGGTACGAATTCCAGCAATGTAAATTATATTCTGGCCGGGTAATTTGTGTGAATTTTATGAGCTAAAACAAATAT